TTTTGGCTGCTATTATTATTATTAAAATTTTCCCTGTTTTGCTCCTAGCTTGAAGGAGGAGAAAATGAAATGCAGCCTATTATAACTTACAAATAGTTCTGGACCAGTTCTATCAAATTCTCTAAACTCTGAAGACTCGGGTATATAAGGACAATCAAATTAGTTTGACCACGGTTTCCTTCTTCTGTCCGAAGTGTCTATATTTTAGATCTAACAGAGTCCTCATTGATTTGTGAATGTGAATTATTGGCAAGGGGATAGACATAGTGTGTAATGTAACTATAAACACAAAGACAATTTCAATGGAGCATTTAAACCTGAACATGTCCTGATTTGGATAGAGAAATAGATTCTTATTTTTGACTCTACAACTTACGCAGTTTCTGTAATTATCAGTTTTTGGATACAGAAGGTTTCCTTCACAAAACCTTTTGTTTCCCAGGAAAAGACTTTTTGTTGCCAGATAAATCAGTGACAAAAAGACATATTTTACCAAAAGGTTTGTTACATAGATTTCCTGTTTACATATCCAGAAACATGATTACTTTTTTCTTATTGGCACAAAGACTTCTTTCTTACCTAAAACGTTTAGATGTGTACCTCATAAGAGAGCAAATGAAACTATTTCAAAGATAAAGTAGTTACTTCTTCATTATTACATAAGCTAAAACACAATGAAATATTAATGCTATTAGCAGAGCAGAATCCTAACCCAGATCATCTGAGTTTATGACTTTAATTAACTAACTTTGCTCTTTCCAAAGAAATGCATACCAAAGATGCCAAAATCACTTATGAGGAGAAGGAAACACTATTTCTAAGTCATTAAAGAAAGCCAAGAGAAACTGCCTATGGACAATTGGCTTAATCTAAGAGTTCATCTTTCTCTGCCTGAAGTTTCACTGAGCAGATGTTCCATTTTTCTCATTTTTCTTATCTTCTCGAAATATGATTTTAAAAACATCCAGAGGAAACTTTAAAATTTCATGAAGGATGATAGTTTAGATCCCTTTTTGTACCTTCCAGAATTTTCTTCTTCAGGCATATTATTCAATTGGAGTTCATGTTTGAAAATAATTGTAAACCCGGAGAATTCGTGTGCCCGAAAAGAAGGAACTTATTTGGGCAAAGTGTAGAACACCAGTAGACTCAAGGGAGGATAATTGTTTGCAATGTAGTTGCTCTATGTTCTGAAATATTTTTTTTGCTCTCCACTTTTTTAGTGTGTATAGGAAAAAATCCTGTCAGCCACATTAACTCCTTCTCTTATTTTTAATTCCAAAGTTAGTTCATGACTCAAGTATAATTTACTTGCTTAGGGTACAGACAGGGATGTTCACCTAATGTACATGTTCTTCTGCCTTCCAGCACTGTTACTATTATGTAATACTGGAGCAAAAGGTGGAAATGCAAGACCGAGAACAGGGTTATCAGAATGTGGGCTGAAGCCACAGCAGGACTAGTAGAAAATATGATCATACCGAATTTGCTGTATCAACAGTAACTGGCACTTTAAATTATTAAAGTTAGAATATTGCGATTTTTCAGGTGACAAAGTCTGGCTCTTGGTTTGACTCTTAAGATTACTAGTTAGAACACTGCTTTGTAGGGGATATCAAGCTCTGGGTCTCTGCATTGCTCTTTTCAGGCCGTTCTCTAGAACACTGTAATGTATTGGAACATCCAATTAGTCAGGAAAATAGATCCTTCTCTGCCACCTCAACATGGTCAGCATCACAAAAACGTGTTAAACTTTATCTTTTTATGCATGTAACTGTTTAAAAACAAGTAGAGAGGCCCCCCAGTATCTCCTCTCTCAAGCTGAAAAGAGGACCAAATCGATGTAAGAATGCTCTACTTTCATACAAGCAGACTGCATAAGTTCCTCAAATACAAAGGCAATTCGTGAGTGGCTCTTTGACTGACTAATTGCATAACCATGGATATGTTACTTTACTTTTCTTAGCTTTAATGTCCTAACATGGAAAACAAGAATATTAACAGTGCCTTCTTTAGAGTGTTATTATCAAGCAATTAACAAGGCACCTAGCATAGACATGCTCAAAAATATTTATTATTAAATGTTTTCAGTCTAAATATTAACTAATACAAAATCAAATGAAATACATTTATTTACCTTTGACTGCTGAGCACTTGCTTACCACGTTGATTTTAAAAGCTTGGTATATCTAACAGAGGTCAACCACAAAAACAAAAAACAAAAGTTTATTCGTTTGTTCAACTAAAGAGTAAAGTAAAATCAAATCCTTCTTGTTATAGGCAGGATAATAATTACCTGTCCAAAGTTCAGAAGCTCTATATTGTAGTACAGGCCACTTGTATTTAACACAACTTTCCTTGAAGACAATCCTAATGAATTAAAAGTATTACTTAGAATATTAAAGCACTTTAAAATATGTACTGATTGCTTAACATTAAAATGATGCCAATAGGCTTTTGATATTAAAAAATAATTTACAGATTTTCACTTCAGGTGTGGAGGACTGAACTTCTAAAAATCCAATCCTCCTGCAGTTAACTCTGGACAAAGCATATTTATGACTTCCAATCACCTCTACGTGTTTTTAAAAGGTCCAGTACCTATTTCCAATTTCAGAAAAGTATGCTTTCTTGGTAGATCTTTTATTTACAAGCTTGCTACCTTCAATGATATAGATGATTCAGAGTTGTCATTTCTGTATCGTTCTGAGTGTTTTTTTACCAAAAAAGGAGGGTGGGGGAGGGATAAAAACCTTAAAGGAAGTTTTCTCAAGTAACACAGATTCTTTCCACAATGGAATATAAAATATGTATTTAAAGGGTGGAGCATACCAAAAGAGCACAGGAGTCAACCTAAAAGAGCTCTCAACATCCAAAGCTGGAATAACTTAACCAAAAAACATATAATAATGAATAAAATAAATATCCCTGAGTCCATACTGACATAAATAACAATTGAATAAATAAATAAACAAGGAGAAAAGACAAATTTACCTCAGGAAGAATTTCAATAAATGTAGAATACAAGAGTAATACTTGCTAAAGACTAGATGAACCAATTGATGCTAAAACCAGTGGGTTATTTTGAAGAAAATCAGGGTATTTACATACTCTCAAAGTATCTCACCCAAGATATTTATTAATTACAAAAAGGAAGCCAGTAACATTAAAGTGGAGAAACCTGGCAGGTACCACCTCAACTGAAATCAAGGTAACATTATTAATTAGAGATATCAACATCATGTATACTCTGATATGATATACTGAGAAATTCACAATGCTTCTGTGGTATTTTTGGCAAAAATGCATAACCTCAATCTAATCATAAAAAAGCATTAGACAAATCCATACTGAGGGGCATTCTACAAAATAATTCATCAGAAGTCTTTAAAGGTTTTAAAGTTATGAAAAACAAGAAAAGGTTGAGGAACTGTTACAGATTACAGGAGACTGAGGAAACATGACAATTCTTTTATTTATTTATTTTTTGAGACAGAGTCTTGCTCTGTTGCCCAGGATAGAGTGCCATAGTGTCAGCCTAGATCACAGCAACCTCAAAGTCCTGGGTAAAGCGATCCTCTGGCCTTAGCCTCCAGAGTAACTGAGACTACAGGTGAGCACCATCGAGCACGGTTAATTTTTTCTACTTTTACTTGCCCAGCTAATTTTTTCTATTTTTAGTGGAGATGGGGTCTCACTCTTGCTCAAGCTGGTCTCAAACTCCTGACCTGAAGCGATCCTCCTGCCTCAGCCTCCCAGAGTGCTAGGATTAGAGGCGTGAGTCACTGCACCTGGCCAGAAACATGACAATTAAATGTAACGTGGGAACCAGGAAGAGGACATCAGTGGAAATACTGGTGAAAACTAAATAAAGTCTGTAGTTAATTATATTGTACCAATGCTAATTTCTTAGTTTTAAAAATTGTATTGTGATTTATAAAGTTGGTCAACATTAGGGAAAGATGGGTGAAAGATACATAGGAACTCTATCTACTCTTTTGTGGCTTTTCTATAAGTCTAAAATTATTTCAAAATAAAGTACAAGAGAATATTTAGAGAAATCTTGAAACCTTCCTAAGGCAGATAGGAATTTATAGTCTATAGTAAAATTTATAAAAAGGGTCAATATTTAGGATAAAAACACACACACAATTATCTGCAAGTGTATGTGATTATGGAGAAATTTCTTTTAAAGTTCTCTTCTCAGAAGATGACTGCTGGCCCAGTATTAAATGAGAATCAAACCACTGAACCATATCATATAGTTATTCCAAGAATTACACTTGAAATATACAATATTTAACATTACAAGGCTCTGCTTTATTGCAACTAAGTGGCAAAATAAATCAGTACTCCATTAAAAATAAAAGCAATTCTTAAGGTTTCCAAAAACAAAGTACTTACCAAAGGAAAAAAGATGAGTTACAGGAAGCTGTATGTATCTTTTCTCTTTTTTAAAGAATTCACAATCTACAACAAACTAAAATATAAAACATTCAATTATTAGAAAAAATAAACTTTATAGTAAAATATCTTTACTTGATGTTTGAATAGAAAATAAAAGTCTATAAACCTTAGCTTTGGAGAAAGTATCATCTATCACACTTAACTCTGGCTATACTTAAGTGGCAAGAATTCCTCAAGATGAGATGCTATGCTGAGAAAACAATAAACAAGCTTAACTTAATTAAATCGATAAATTATTAGAGGGTCATTTCTATAACAAGACATTCATAGCAAAGTTTTTTTATAGTTATTTTAGGTATTTGTAGAAGGACATTAAAGGATGGATCAAAGCATTAAAAGCCAAGGCAAATTCAAGATTAAGGGTTTGGATAATGTATTTCTGAATACTTTCAAAGTCAAAAGGAAAATGTGGTTTTGTTACATATATTTTTAAAAAATTATTCATTTCTTATTTATACTCAAGGTTTTTGGAGACATACTGTCATTCATCAATAGATAGCTAATGTTATTTATGTAAGATTATTACAGGTTAGTTATAATAAATGCAAAAAGATTTATTACATATGAAGAAAAATGCTTTTTAAAAATGTAAACCTAAAAAAAAAATGTAAACCTGTAATGTGACATCTACATCATTATAATTTTTTCAGTGACAACATTTCTTTTTTAGTAACATTTCTACAAATGTGTAAGAAATTTGCTCTCAGTTATTTGCAAAAAGAATTGTTTCTGGTAAAGGAATAATTTCATTAAAATAATCTCCACTGTGCAATCAGATTATTTTGAAGAGCTGAAGAAATAAATAATCTGATGCCTAATTGTAGTTAGCAAGCAGTTTGCTGTCTACAGACAGTAGAAAGCCAGTGGTGTCTATCCTAGTCTTTTCCAACTACATCTTGGATACGTTTGAAGCAGTGTTACTTTGCTTGCCTGTTGGGTAGATTTTTGATTGTTTTTAAAAGTGAAAAACAAATGAGAAAAATTGCTATTAGTCTATAGTACACACATGGGGGAATAAAAGGAAAAACTTGTTAAGAAGTTTTGCTTTTATTTCTCCCTCTTTACTTACAAGGCAAAGAACATAGATATTTTCATTACAGAAAACAGCTGTTAAAAGATTAGAGAAATGACTTATTGAACAGATTATTCATTATATTTTTACAAAGTACTTTTTGGTGAGCTTTACCTGAGACAGTGAAGCAGTTTTTAAAAGCAATTTAAATCACTTTGCACAGTTATTTAAACTAATAGAATTGTTATTATTGCTTTAAAAATTTGGCTGTGCCTTTAGTTTTGCATAATTGGGTAACTCCCTATCCATGAAAGAGAAAATTCAAAGGTCTGTCTCTAAAACATCCAAGGTAAGTAAATTTCTAATGGCTTTAATTATTTTGTTTTCTGTCATCAAGAAAAATGCAGATAATTTCATATTTGCATTTCCAAAAATACATTAATGTATCAGTTGAGGCCAGACACAGTGGCTCATGCCTGTAATTCTAGCACTGTGGGAGGCTGGGATGGGAGGATTGCTTGAGCTCAGGAGTCCAAGACCAGCCTGAGCAAGAGCAAGATACTGTCTCTACTAAAAA